CTCTTACTTGAAATTCATCAGAATCATATAACTTGCAACAGTCTTTGGTGAATAACACAATTGTATCCTTATTTACAATTGAGTTTACAGACAACAAATTTGTAGACAATCCCGGTACATGCAATACATCTGAGATATGGCTATAATTGTCATTCATTAGTTTTACATCACCAAAACCTGCGCTGGTTAACATGTTGTCATCAGCAAGGGTTACTTCATGTTCCTTAGAATCATGTGTTTTATAATTTTGCAAAACAGTGTTATTTCCGGTCAGATGGTGTGAAGCACCAGAGTCTATTACCCAAGTGTTCTCTTTAACTTTAACATGATGGGCAGACACCATATACATGGATCTTTTACTGGTCTTATTTTTCCATTTATTTTCATTACACCTATGATTGGATCCTTCTTTATTTTTATCAGTACTATTAACTGAGTTGGAAGACTGATTGCTCTTAAATTTTTGCCTTTGCTGATTGTTATGATTCTTATTGTTCGCCTTATCCTTATCTTTGAACCAACAGTTTTTATTTATATAGCCTAGCTTACCACAAATTTGACATTTTGCTGGTTTACGTTTAATCTTATCTTTGGACAGAAAGGCTGAATCTGAATTCGCATTTTTACCAAATTCAGTGTCTTGCAATAGCTTAGATTTAATGAGCTCACTAGTCAGAGTTACGTTGGAGTTTTCAAGCGCCATACGCATGGGATAATACTCTTTAGTTAAACCCTTTAACATTAATGCTGCTAATAGCTCATCTATTTTTTTGTCCATTGAGACTAGTCTGAGATTTATTGACATGAAGGCATTAACATATGGTAGCAGAGCATGCTGAGCTGCAAATGTGTTATCCAGGTTTATTTCACTTTAGATGCACAGTCTCTTTCATGGCTGTATCCAATAATTATAATCTTGTGTTTCTCCTTTTGGATATCTTCTTTTTATTATGTTTTCCCACTTATTGATTTCCTGTTGATTTGCAGAACCAGCATCTCACACTCATCACTAATACAAGGTTATTCAGCGATTTGTTATGACCGGTATCAGGTATGTATTTTCCTATACTCCATAAGAGAATTTTTTTGTTTTCAAACTACTGCATCTGACCACTTAGCTTCATTTAAAGTTTACTCTCTGATAGTTTCATACAAACTTGTTACCTGGAATAGTACTGACTTCTGACAGCACAACCTCTTTGACTGCTTGTCTCTCGTCAGTTTTTAAAAACTGATTTAATTCTCTCACATCACCAATTACATCCATTTTTCTAAAATGTAATTGACTATTTTAAGAGGAGTCTGGATAGCTACATACTGAGTATTTACTGCACTCTCTTGCTATAAATAACTCCTACCTTTGATCTCCTAATATCTTTCAGCAGTATGGTTTTGATTTCTATGTTTACCTAAAATTTTCACTGGACTGAGTTTTATTATAACCACTATAATGTGGTGCGTTGCACTTATTAACAACAGGTACTTCTACCATTTGTATAGCTCTTGGATGGACTGAGTAACAACCTTGGTGGCATAAGAAATCTCACTTAAGAAATATGTTCTCTGGAGCGATTCATCTTTAATGAATATGCTGGAAATCGGATTGGTCTGGCAATACTGATACACTTCCCTCGTTATTTTAAAAACTGATATTAAAATGGCTGAAAAGAGAGTTTATTTCACTTTATGTAAACAATTAGAATTAAAACAACTGAGAAGGGAGTTTATTTCTGAAGTAGGTAATGCCTCGAATCTCACTTTTCAATAAGGACTACATAAAATATTTTTATTGCGTAAAGAATAACCTTTTGGATGCATATATGGTTCTTAAAAATTAATATTTATTACCTCATACACAACAAAAACACTTTAGTTGCATAACGAAATATCGAGCCCAATAAGATCAACAGTAATTAACGAATAACTTAATATTACGTTATAAACTCAGCCACCTGTGCAATTTCCTGCTGTTTGCATCATATCCATCTATGGGGACATCCAACATAGGACGCTGCTTCCACCGGTCTTTTAGACAACACTCACTCCTTAGTGAATATTGCAACAGAAACTCCACACGCCATTACACATACTGTGATGTCCACTGGAACGGCTCTGGGAACATGGTTTAAGTCAAATTTACTCTCACTAAATCTGGACAAAACCTACTGTATGGGATTTCACTCTAAAGATATTATTAATTCCGAAATACAAATTAAATATCACAACAAAATTTTTTCCAGTACTACCGAACTAAAGTTTCTAGAGCTAGTACTTCACAATACTATGTCTTGGAAGAGTCACATCGATATGTTGGCTTGCAAATTAAACAAAGTATGTTATATTGCAAGAGCAATCAGCCCTTTCTTATCATTAAATTATCTAAAGGTATTCTATCATGCTTATTTTCATCCAGTTATAACATATGGATAACGCCTACGCAGGCGTTAAGATATATATCCATCTCCCAGCAGATATTAAAGACTTGGCATGTGATATTAAAAGCTTTAAAAGAAAATTAAATATTATTTGCATGAACATTCTTTTTATACTGTGGATGAATTATTTATGCATAAAACTAGATAAGTATTTCTGATGGGAATCGTAACAACATTGTATCAATATTTACAGTGTTCTATTACTTATAATTTTATTCGACAAAATCTTTTAACGATTGCATATCTTATTATTATTATTATTATTATTATTATTATTATTATTATTTCTTGTTGTACTTATTTTTGGCTTTTCTACATCCAGTGGTTCTACCAGTATGGATCAACATAAATTAATAATAAATAAAAAATAAATAAATAAAAGTTACGTGGCAACAGCTGATTACATAATAGAGCAACACATGGAAGGGATGTGACAGCAGGTGTAGCAGTAGCAAAGCAAAAGGTGCGAACACGTCACAACAGGAGGATGGGATGTGATAAAAGCTGTAGCAGGTGAGTACAGAATGGCAGACAATGGCAGACTAACAGTTGGTGTGCATGAGAATGGATGTTATCTGGCCAGTCGTTCGTCTTACATCTAGATTCTCTGGTGTCCGCCTACTGGGGAAGCTGCCGTCAACATTTCTTGCGTCTTCTTTTCAATTGGGAGATGTATACAGGTGTGTATTAATGCTATATGGACGCAGAGTTTCAAAAATTCAGAAAACTAATGCTATTTAATTTTCTCATAAAACTAATACTGTGCATTTTATTTATGATATTGCTGAAGTTTTACTTTCGAGTACTGACTGTAAGGGATCTTGGTATGATGTTGGCCCGTAAACAATATTTTCATCAACATGTTGTCTTGTCAACTTGTCTTCTGAGGCACTAGGCTTATATGCTTCATAACAAACAATGTACCTGCCTTGGATAACCTGGAGGTTCCATAAGCTGCTGTAATTCTGTCAACGATTACATAAGCCTATGCCTTGATGGCCTGGGATTAATTTACATTGGCAGATTTCAACAGCCTTGAAAATATAAAGAGAAATTTTCAAATTTTTGTTGTAGACAATTTGAGTAGTTTGATTTTCTTATGGCTATAATTTTCTCCTGGAAGGTTTAAAATTTAGGACAGCTTATTCCAGATGACCACATCCTGTTTGTTCAAATCCTTGTAATGTTTTTAAGTGGAAGGTAACCACACTCTTAGGAGTTCACTCATGAAAATCAGGCTAGAAAGAAATCAGCAACAGATGTCACAGTATATCTATAGTATTCCTTCTGAATGTGGCAGAAGGTACATTGGTGAAACAGGCAGACCTCTAGCCATACAGCTGGATAAACGCAGGCACAGTCTCAAAGAGGGTCGTCTGGAAAACAAAATTAGCCCAACATTCCTATGAAGAAATTAATAGAGTAGGCTGGGATGATGGTAGGATTTTGGAAATTGAAAGCAACATCAGGTATAGAAACAACAAGGAATTAGCCCATATGGCATGCTTAACCAGTCCCATTAGCCACCCCAGTTTGGATATTTCTCATATCTGGATTCCCCTCATCAGCAATGAGGTTTCCAACTCAGAGAAGATCTGCATGACATGACAGATTCATTATGGGTTTCCATAAGGTTTTTCCTGAGTGTTCAGTAAATCAGTCCCATTAATATTAGGAACAGTGTAGCCTTCCAGATTGTATTGTTTTATTGACTTTGTTAGGCATTAATACTAAAAAAGGAAAACAGAAAATATATATTGGGACAGTCTAGACAACAGTAATTCTAAAGAAGACAAAATAGACACAATTTTGTCAACATTTGTTTTATTAGCTGTTGGTGGTAATGCTGCATGTGCCAGGCCTTTTTTGGGGGGGGGTCATCTTCAGGCATGCAAGAATACTAGTACTAGTTCCTGAATTGCATCATTGTTCAGTACAGATTCATATTGTGTTTGTATGAATTTTATACTAATAATTACACTTTAATTTAAATGCAGTTCAAATATAGTTTAAAACTTGACTATAAAGGATAAAAATTAAAATTAAATAGTGATTGAGAAATTTGAATTTATATTAAAAGTCTTGTCTTAGACTTTGTGACTGCTACATATCTGTATATGTGTTTGGTTGTTCCACTGTGGTAGTGATAGTTGTGACATGGGGTAACTGCATGCTGGGACATTTCCTCAGAATGTGGGTTGTGTTGATTTTTAACTTTCCTATTATCATGTGAAGGCTATACTTGTTATTCTGGGTATTACTCTCAGGTTGTTTATACTTGGATTTAAATATTCAAATTTGATGATGTTTATATATACAGTTGCCCATGGTGGTGGTGTTATTATGCTTTAGCTGTTCTAACGTGTAGCGTTTCCACCAACGGCTAATAAAACAAATGTTGACACAGTAGTGTCTGATTAGTTTTTCCCAGACTACATTTAATGAATTGAAATATTAGTGATATTTCTTTGCCAAAAGCAAGATGATAATGGGTTCTTAACAGTTGGTCGGAAATATGTTCACACCGTTTTTTTTTTCATTTTTAGATAACTTTTATTGGAAAAATTTAAGGTTTTTATGCTGAAGATCATATAAATGACATGTTGCAATATTTTGTACAAAAAATGAAAGACATCGTCATGATTATTCCTACCTCCCATAGAAATTATATATATGTGCATTGCCTTCTAATGGTAGAAATGAGAAATAAGGTCATAATATAGGGCATTTAAGCATTACAAATTGTGGATATTTAAAAAAATTTTATCCTAAGCATAACAAAATTAAATTAATATGCAGTTTCATCAGTAACCTATCACAACCTTGTAACAAAGGACTTCAATTTACTAAAGGCTGTGATTTGTTCGCTGTTGTTGTATGGTAGACTGGTGAGCTTGGCTTATTCTTGTGCGGATGTGTGAGCTCAATTTTAGCACAAAATAACGGTTTATTTTCTTCAGTATTAAGAATAAAGTGTTAATCTTATCAAATAAGTGGCTGATAGTGAACCTCATATTTTATTTTTCTATAGTGAACGTTTTCTTCCTTTGTTCTACATACTCTTGTACCACGCTTAGTTCGTAGGCCATTTTCAGCCATATTGTAAACATTTTGCAGCACTTTTTATATATCCAACGATTCCAAAACGACATCTTTTACTTACAGCTGTTGTAAGATTGAACAGTACTAATTTTAGAATAGTGTAATTGTTATTTTGTGTCTTTATTTAGTCTGATTTGTATTTATGTAAGTGTGCTGGTAGGCCTAACCAAAAAAGTGGCGTTTGAAAATATAATTAATAGTATAGTCACGTGCATCACGTTTTATACCTTTTGTTAAGATAGAATAATACTAGGTTCAGCGAAGTGTATTGTAATTTTATAACTTAAAGTGATTGATTTTGTATTTTTTGTACGTGCCGGTAGGCCTAACCTACAAATAGAGTGTGAACGTGTTTAATAGTGAATTTTACAGTGGGCTGTAAGCTATTTGTACCAGCACCTAAGTATCTTGTAGGTCTTAGGTATATAAAAATATTTGTCAGTTGTCCCTAAATGTTCAATTAGTACCAGGTTATAGACTAACTGTGAGTGATAATGGCCACAAAAGGTAGTGACTTATCAGGTAAATGTGGGGCCTGCAGGAGGAAGGTTAGCCAGGGGATAGGGTGCGAGGATTGTGGCCAGTGGTTTCATTGGGAGTGTGCTGGTACAAACAATGAATTGGCTTTATTGCCTTGGTACTGCAACTCCTGTGTGCAAGCCATGGGAATAAAGAAGCAAGAGGAGACAATCTTGAGTATTAGGGAGCTTGAATTTGCAAAAACTGAGATTAGCCTCTTAAAAGAGGAATTAAATTTAGTAGATAATTGTTCTGAAGAACTTAGGACTGTATCAAACTCCCGAAGGAAACATAAGATTGTTTCCTCTGCATTAGATACTAAGTTTACTTCAACCAATCGATTTGAACCTTTAGCAATGCTAGAGCCTCAAACTGATGGTAACTCAGTAGACCAGCCAGCCAGTGCTGAATCTAGTTATAAGCCTATATTTAAGGCAAAGCCTAAACATCAGATTCTTGTACTTGGTAGCTGTCATGGTAGGGGTATCGGACAGAGGCTTCAAAATGCTATGGGAGATGGATATGCTGTGACCAGCATATTCAAGCCTAATGCTGACCTGAGGAGTGTCACTGGGGACACAGAAAATTTGTGTAAGGATCTTAATAAAGAAGATCAAGTAGTTAAGAGTTGGGGGGCCAGGAAACAGTTTAGATAGGAACCTCAGTTACTGAATTGAGAATGACATAAGTGACATTGCTCAAAAAACCAGTCACACCAATGTGAAGTTCGTTGGTCTTCTCTGGCGACATGACAAGCCATGGATTAACAGGTGGGTAAGGGACGTTAATCTTCGACTTGAGCGTTCACTTATGAGGATTAGCAGGACTCACATTGATGGGATTGATGTCTCTTCAATAATGAGGAATGAGCATACTCCCCATTGTCTGCATTTTAATCCTCAAGGCTCACACAAGCTCACACAACTCATTCCAGTTGTCATGGGTGTTCAGAATCCTTTTTTAGGTTAAGGTGTGCAAGTAAGGTTTACCAAGTAAAAGAAAATAATCCTTCAGCTAGTAATAAATGCCAAGAAATAGAAATCAAAACAGGAAATAAAAGCTCGATAAAATCAATACAAAACAAAGTACTAAGAGTGTTCCATCAGAATATAAGAGGTCTGAGAAATAAATCGAATTAATAAGCTTCGTGCATTCAAGTCTCCTGCACATACTGTGCCTTACTGAACATCACATGAAGCAGCTGGAATTAGAACATTTTCGCATAGAAAATTATAATTTAGGAGCTAGATATTGTAGACAAACACTAGAGAAAGGAGGAGTGAGTATTTTTGTACATAAAAACGAGAAATTTACTAAAATAAATTTAGAAGATTATTGCAAAGATCAGGATCTAGAAGCCTGTGCTTTAAAGTTAGACTCTACTTTTTCTGATATTTGTGTACTGGCTTTATATAGAGCCCCATCTGGGAATTTTGATCTGTTCTTAGATAGATTAATTTGTGGTGATATAAATGTAAACTATCTCATCGATAGTAATAGGAAACTAAACTTAGATTCATTGTTATTATCTTACAATCTCTCCAGTACTGTTAACTTTCCCACAAGAATTCAAAATAACTCTAGGTCAGCGATAGATAATATATTCATTGATAACTCAAAAATAAGAGACATTACTGTAGGACCCTTTATAAATGGCTTGTCCGATCATGAGGCCCAACTCATAGGAATAAATAATATTAACCTTCAGCCCAATAATCAACAATATAAAACAGTAAGGAAAATCAACAAGCATACGATGGCAGATTTTGTCACAAAATTAAGTAATGAATCTTGGGACACTGTATTTGACAGCAGTGATATTGATTCTAAATTTAATTGCTTTATGAACACATACTTGATCTTTTATTCAAGGTTTCCCTTAAAAATAGTAAAAAATGACATTAAAAACAAAACTACCTGGATAACTGTTGGAATAAAAACTTCATGTAAACATAAAAGACATCTCTATTTGGCCAGTAGGGACAGTAATGATCCAAGACTAAAAAGTCACTACAAAATGTACTGTAAAATCTTGTCAAAAGTCATTAATGAAGCCAAACAATAATTATAACAACCAAATTCTAAAATCAAACAATAAAATTAAAACAACCTGGGATATTGTGAAAGTTTAATCAGGAAAGAAAACTGTTAATGAAGATGTACAAAGTTTGAATATTGAAGGAAAGTCTACTAATAATCCACAAGCTATTGCGAGTGCATTTAATGAATATTTCCTCTCATTAGTTGAGAAAACATATCTTAATAATAAT